CCCAGCCCTCAGCCCCCAGCCCAGCCCTCAGCCCCCAGCCCCCAGCCCTCAGCCCTCAGCCCCCAGCCCTCAGCCCTCAGCCCTCAGCCGTCAGCCCCCAGCCCCCAGCCCCCAGCCCTCAGCCCCAGCCCCCAGCCCCCAACCCTCAGCCCTCAGGCCCCAAAGCCTTACTGAGTTTCTGGGTAGAACAGTGTGCTTGTGTGTGTGCGTCCGTGCATGTATGCGTGCGTGTGTGTTTTTGTGTGTGTGTGTTGTGGGTGAGCGTGTGTGTGTGTGTACTGGTTAGAGCTGAGCTGCATGGACCCTGGGGTTGGAAATCAGATCCTGCAGCTGGCAGCCTGGCACAGCCGTCTGTCCTCTGCCCTGTGGTGTGTGTGTGTGTGTGTGTGTGTGTGTGTGTATGTGTGTATGTGTGTATGTGTGTGTGTGTGTGTGTGTGTGTGTGTGTGTGTGTGTGTGTGTGTGTGTGTGTGTGTGTGTGTGTGTGTGTTTGTGTGTGTGTGTGTGTGTGTGTGTGTATGAGTCATCCCCTGAACAAGAGATGTTAATAATAGAGAGATTCTATGTTAATAATAGAGAGATTCTATGTTAATAATAGAGAGATTCTATGTTAATAACAGAGAGATTCTATGTTAATAATAGAGAGATTCTATGTTAATAGAGAGATTCTATATTTATAATAGAGAGATTCTATGTTAATAACAGAGATTCTATGTTAATAATAGAGAGATTCTATGTTAATAACAGAGAGATTCTATGTTAATAGAGATATTCTATATTTATAATAGAGAGATTCTATGTTAATAACAGAGATTCTATGTTAATAATAGAGAGATTCTATGTTAATAATATAGAGATTCTATGTTAATAACAGAGAGATTCTATGTTAATAATCGAGAGATTCTATGTTAATAATAAAGAGATTATATGTTAATAATAGAGAGATTATATGTTAATAATAGAGTGATTATATGTTAATAATAGAGAGATTCTAGCCAAGTGTCTTTAATCCAAAACATGCTGTTGGATAGTAGCCTGCAGACTACAGCGCAGGGCACTGTTAAGAGCGTTACTAAAACAGTCCAAGAGAGACTCACCGGCAAACACTCCATTTGATTATATAGGGAGGGTAGTGGATAGTGGATAGTGGATAGTGGATAGGAGATAGGGGATAGGGGATAGGGGATAGGGGATAGGGGACAGGGGATAGGGGATAGGGGACAGGGGATAGGGGATAGGGGACAAGGGATGGTGGATAAGGGATAGGGGACAGGGGACAGTGGACAGGGGACAGGGGACAGGGGACAGGGGACAGGGGACAGGGGACAAGGGATGGTGGATAAGGGATAGGGGAAGGGACAGTGGACAGGGGGACAGGGGAACAGGGGACAGGGGACAGGGGACAGGGGACAGGGGACAGGGGGACAGGGGACAGGGGACAGGGGACAGGGGACGGGGACAGGGGACAGGGGACAGAGGACAGGGGATAGGGGATAGGGGGACAAGGGATGGTGGATAAGGGATAGGGGACAGGGGACAGTGGACAGGGGACAGGGGACAAGGGGGACAGGGGACAGGGGACAGGGGACAAGGGATGGTGGATAAGGGATAGGGGACAGTGGACAGGGGACAGGGGACAGGGGACAGGGGACAGTGGATAGGGGACAGGGGACAGGGGACAGGGGATAGTGGATAGGGGATAGTGGATAGGGGACAGGGGACAGGGGACAGGGGATAGGGGATAGGGGATAGTGAATAGGGGATCGGGAGATCTTTCTCGGTTCCCTTTTCTCTCTCCGGTCTCTCTTCTCTCTTGCTCTTTTTCTTGTCTCGTCTCTCGTTGTCTCTTCTGCTCTGTTGCTCGTTGCTCGTCTCTTTGTGTTCTCTTGGCTCTCGTTGCTCTTTTCTCTTTTCTTTTTTCTCTTCCTCTCTTTTCTCTTTCTCTTCTCTCTTTTTATCTTTTATCTTTTCTCTTGTCTCTTTTCTCTTTTCTCTTTCCCTTTTCCCTTCGGCTCGTTCTCTTCTCTCTTTTCTCTTCTCTTCTTTCTCTTCTCTCTTGTCTCTTCTCGCTGTTCCTCTTTCTCTCTTTCTTTTCTCTTTTTTCTCTTTTCTCTTTTCTCTTTTCCTATTCTCTTTTCTCGGTCGCCTCTTTTCTCTTTTCTCTTTTCTCTTTTCTCCTGTTCCCTTTTCTCTTTCTCTCTCTCTCTTTTCGTCTTTTCCTCTTTCACTCTCTTCTCATTCGTCCTACTTTTCTCTTTCTCTTCTCTCTTTTCTCTTTTTCTCTTTTCCCTTTTCTCTTTCATGCTTCTCTCTTTTTCTCGTTCTCTCCTTTGTCTCTTCTCTCATTTTTCTCTTCCTCTGGCTTTTCTTCTTTTCTCTTTTTCTTTTCTCTTCTCTTTTTTTCTCTTGGGATAGTGGTGGCGATAGGGGATAGGAGATCAGGTGGGATAGGAATAGGGGATAGGGGATAGTTGGATAGGGGATCGTGGATAGTGAGATAGTGGATATGGCTAGTGATAGGGCAGATAATTGGATAGGGGGGGTGGACAGTGGATAGGGGAGGGTTAGGAGATACTGGGATAGGGGATAGGGGGATAGGAGTATAGGGCATAGGAGTGGAGTATAAGGGGATATAGGAGATAGGGGGTAGGTATAGGTATAAGTGGATAAGGAATAGTGGATAAGAGAGATCAGGATATAGTGGGATAGGAGATATGGGATAGTGTTCTCGTGTGTATTTTCTACTCTTGTTATATGTATAGTGATAGTTGGCTCGGTTCATGGTGATATGTATCTGAGATCTTTCCTTTTCTCTTATCTCTTGTATCTTAGTTTCTCGTTTATAGTTCTCGTTCCATTTCTCTTTTCCAGTTGCTCAGTAGCTCTCTTCTCCTTTTCTCTTTTCTATTTTCTCTTTCTCTTTTTTCTCTTTCTCTTTTTTGTGACCGCTGCCACAAGTGTGAGGTAATAGGCACATAGACATATGATTATATCTGGTTTAAAGTTTTAAAAACCTTGCAAGGTTTAAACCTTTGTGTATTTTCATGCTGTTACATTATGTATCTACCAGTTCTGACTGCATTATCTTTCCTGTCAAATCTATATTTATAATAGAGAGATTATAAATATAATAGAGAGTTATTAACATAGAAGCAGAGATGTCTAAGTTGTGGAAAAGATCATGTCATGTGTTATAAGAGTGACTTTGATATGGTAGTATAGTTTGCGATCCAAGCTGATTGTTTCAGGGGATAGGGGATAGGGGATAGTATTGAGTACTTTGTCTAGGATTAGCATTCTACTCAGAGCTCTATGGTTTTTGGGACACATTTTCTTGATACACACGGGAAACTGTTGAGCGTGAAAAAACCCAGTGCTTGACACACTCAAACCGGTGCGCCTGGCACCTACCACAATACCCCGTTCAAAGGCACTTAAATATTTTGTCTTGCCCATTCACCCTCTGAATGGCACACATTACACAATCCATGTCTCAATTGTCTCCTCCCCTTCATCTACACTGATTGAAGTGGATTTAACAAGTGACATCAACAAGGGATCATAGCTTTCACCTGGTCAGTCTGTCATTGAAAGAGCAGGTGTTCCTAATGTTTTGTACACTCAGTGTATGTACTGTATGTGTTCCTATGTCTAAGTAGTAAATGGTCTACATTTTAATAGTTTTTTCCCCTCAAAGGTGTTGGCACAGACCTGCAGCTATAATGTATCCTACCTGAGGGGGATAGATAGTCAACTTAAAGGGATCAATGTTGGTCAAATGAATACCATTTCATACCATTTCATTCATCGTCTACCTACCACTCATAGTCTATTCTGAAGTGAGAGAGTGAGGGGAGATCTACCTACCACTCATAGTCTATTCTGAAGTGAGAGGGTGAGGGGAGATCTACCTACCACTCATAGTCTATTCTGAAGTGAGAGGGTGAGGGGAGATCTACCTACCACTCATAGTCTATTCTGAAGTGAGAGAGTGAGGGGAGATCTACCTACCACTCATAGTCTATTCTGAAGTGAGAGAGTGAGGGGAGATCTACCTCCCACTCATAGTCTATTCTGAAGTGAGAGAGTGAGGGGAGATCTACCTACCACTCATAGTCTATTCTGAAGTGAGAGGGTGAGGGGAGATCTACCTACCACTCATAGTCTATTCTGAAGTGAGAGAGTGAGGGGAGATCTACCTACCACTCATAGTCTATTCTGAAGTGAGAGGGTGAGGGGAGATCTACCTACCACTCATAGTCTATTCTGAAGTGAGAGAGTGAGGGGAGCTGTCTTAAGAGCGCAGCATCACAGAAGAGAAGACACCACTGCAGTGACACGGGCAGAGGCACAGCGCCTGACAGCTGTTGTTTCATTGCACTTTGTAGTAAATGGGGGAGAGCTTACTTTTTTTAAACATTTCTCCTGCGCATCTCAGCCTCTCTCATTATGTTGGAATCCTCCTAACCTGACGGACATCCCCGATCCCCTCTGCTAGCTCGGCTAGAAGTCTGAGGGCAACGAGGCAGAGGAGAGAGAGACGCGGTCGCGCTCCACAGGAGAGGGATATAACCGGGAATGTCTGGATGTGGTTATGGGTGAGTCTTCCAGCTAACACCACGCCTTCATTCTACAACCACATACGGTGGCTGGATCTGGATATAATCATTACCAAAAGTGGGATTCGTAATAAGTGACTTGGACACACACCATGGCCACTGTGGAGGTGTTTCTCTCTGTCTCGGTGGCAGTGATTATAACAGTGTCGTTGCTGTCCAACGTCGTGGTGCTGATCTGCTTTCTGTACAACCCAGAGATCAGGAAGCAGGTGCCCGGTGTGTTCACCCTCAACCTCACCTTCTGCAACTTGTTGCTGACCGTTTCCAACATGCCTCTAACTCTGGTGGGACTCATCAAGAAGGGTCAGCCTGGAGGTGACGCTTTCTGTCAGTTTTGTCGGCTTTTCGGACACTTTTTTAACGACTAATTCGATGTAGAGCATGGCCGCTCTAAGCGTCGACAGGTGGATCGCTGTAGTTTTCCCGTTGAGTTACCATTCTAGAATGCGACACAGAGATGCAGCACTCGTGCTCGGATACACACGGGTCCATTCTATGTCCTTTTCGACAGTGGCGGCTTGTCTCTCGTGGGTGGGATACCATCAACTTTACGCGTCGTGCACTCTCTCCGACGTGAGGGAGAACAGTCAGACCCAGTTTGTTATCTTTACCGTGTTTTTTTCACGCACTCACCTTTCTCCTGTCATTTCTAGTGCTGTGTGTCACATACCTCAAAGTGCTGAAGGTGGCAAGGTTCCACTGTAAACGGATAGACGTTATCACAATGCAAACTTTAGTGCTGCTGGTGGACATTCACCCAAGGTAAGAGAAGAGGTGTTTGAGTTGCATCTTCCTCTGTGCACCTTGCTCCAACTCACTGTTGTTTTTTTTATTTCATGTTGAAACCAGCAGAATGCATCAAGGGACATTTCTTTATTCTATTTCATTGTGTTATATTGCGTGCTAATCGATTACTCCTTCCAGGAACATGACTATCCTCATTCCTGAGTTCCTGCAGTGCACCACATGGTTACATTGGTCTTGTCGTGCACTCTAAGGATTATTTCAGGTATCAAATTAGACGGAATAATGGCCCAACACTTTCAAAATGGATCAATTGTGTATCATATACTTTGATGTGATGAGATACAAAGAGAACCATAAAGAGACGGATACAACACTATCTGGTATACATGCAGTAACCCCAGACAGTTAATGGTTATATCTGGTATACATGCAGTAACCCCAGATAGTTAATGGTTATATCTGGTATACATGCAGTAACCCCAGATAGTTAATGGTTATATCTGGTATACATGCAGTAACCCCAGATAGTTAATGGTTATATCTGCTATACATGCAGTAACCCCAGATAGTTAATGGTTATATCTGGTATACATGCAGTAACCCCAGATAGTTAATGGTTATATCTGCTATACATGCAGTAACCCCAGATAGTTAATGGTTATATCTGCTATACATGCAGTAACCCCAGATAGTTAATGGTTATATCTGCTATACATGCAGTAACCCCAGATAGTTAATGGTTATATCTGGTATACATGCAGTAACCCCAGATAGTTAATGGTTATATCTGCTATACATGCAGTAACCCCAGATAGTTAATGGTTAATCTGGTATACATGCAGTAACCCCAGATAGTTAATGGTATATCTGTATACATGCAGTAACCCCGATAGTTAATGGTTATATCTGGTATACATGCAGTAACCCCAGATAGTTAATGGTTATATCTGGTATACATGCAGTAACCCCAGATAGTTAATGGTTATATCTGGTATACATGCAGTAACCCCAGATAGTTAATGGTTATATCTGGTATACATGCAGTAACCCCAGATAGTTAATGGTTATATCTGCTATACATGCAGTAACCCCAGATAGTTAATGGTTATATCTGGTATACATGCAGTGACCCCAGATAGTTAATGGTTATATCTGCTATACATGCAGTAACCCCAGATAGTTAATGGTTATATCTGCTATACATGCAGTAACCCCAGATAGTTAATGGTTATATCTGCTATACATGCAGTAACCCCAGATAGTTAATGGTTATATCTGCTATACATGCAGTAACCCCAGATAGTTAACCCGTTGGTTTTGATGAGATCATCATGGGCCCGGGTCACAGGAAAATACGACGCTCCTGTGTTTCAGCTCTGGTCTGGGTGCATCCCAAATGGTACCTTATTCCCTTAATAGTGCACTACTATTGACCAGAGCCCTATGAGCCCTATCAGCCCTGGTCAAAAGTAGTGCACTAAATAGGGAATATGGTGCCCTTTGGGACGCATCCTGTTTCCTGGTTAGAATAGGGCAGAATCAGTGTTTTACTGAGTGGCAGTGGCATCCCATTACGTTGTCATTTACTATAGCCTAAGAGATAGACTCTTTGTCTGTTTTCCTGGGAAAAAAAACGGTCTAATATGGTTAAAATACTATTATCATTATCAATCATCATCATCATCATCACACACACACCAGACCCCACACTTTCGTCACATATGCATGCAATAACACGTGTTTTTAACCTCTACTGGATCGGTGTCCCGTATACGGGACGGTTGAGCTAACGTGGGCTAATGTGATTAGCATGACTGTTGTAAGTAACAGCAAACTTTCCAAGACATAGACATGTCTTATATGGACAGAAAGCTTAAATTCTTGTTAATCTAACTGCACTGTCCAATTTACAGTAGCTATTACAGTGAAAAAAATACCATGCTATTGTTTGAGGAGAGTGCACAACAACAAAAAACGTATCACGGCAACTGGTTTGATACATTCTCCTCTGAAGGTAAATAATGTTCTTACGTTCAGTAATCTTGATCTGGTTTGTCATCCTAAGGGTCCCAGAGATAACATGTAGCATAGTGTTGTTTGATAAAATCCATTTTTGTGTTCAAATGTAGGAACTGGGTTCTACAGTTTGAACCCCTGCTGTCTCTGGCTCCACACCCACCCGCCCGGCCATCTAGATGTGTGAAAGTTAGTGTATAAGCTACTGATCCATCATGTATGACATTCCTGGGAGTGTGTAAACTTACATTTTGTATTACCATATCATTGTTCTCTATAGTTATGTACTTGAAAATGTATCAATTGACCAATTCGGCACATTTGGGCAGACTTGATACAAAATAGTCCAGTATTCCAATGCTTCACTGGATCAATCTGAAATTTTGCACATACAGTGCTGCCATCTAGTGGCCAAAATCTATATTGCGCCTAAACTGCAATATTATATTGTGGCCTTTCTCTTGCATTTCAAAGATGATGGAACAAAAAAACAAAACAAAAAAAAACGCATGTTTCCTTTCAAATGGTATCAAGAATATGCATATCCTTGCTTCAGGTCCTGAGCTACAGGCAGTTAATAATAATATAATAATATGCCATTTAGCAGACGCTTTTATCCAAAGCGACTTACAGTCATGCGTGCATACATTTTTGTGTATGGGTGGTCCCGGGGATCGAACCCACTACCTTGGCGTTACAAGCGCCGTGCTCTACCAGCTGAGCTACAGAGGACCACGATTTGGGTACGTCATTTTAGGAAAACATTGAAAAAAAGGGATTAATGTAAAAATGTGATTTTGATATTGCTGTCTATGACTGCCATGTATGTACAGTACCTTCGGAAAGTATTCAGACCCCTTGACTTTTTCCACATTTTGTTACGTTACAGCCTCATTCTAACATTTTATATAAATCGTTTGTTTCCCTTCCTCAATCTACACACAATACCCCATAATGACAAAACAAAAACAGGTTGTAAGACATTTTTGCTAATAAAAACACTCATGAAATATTAAATTTACATAAGTATTCAGACCCTTTACTCAGTACTTTGTTGAAGCACCTTTGGCAGCGATTACAACCTTGAGTCTTCTTGGGTATGACGCTACAAGCTTGGCACACCTGTATTTGGGGATTTTCTCCCATTCTTCTCTGCAGATCCTCTCAAGCTCTGTCAGGTTAGATGGGGAGCTTCGCTGCACAGCTAATTTTCAGGTCTCTCCAGAGATGTTCAAGTCCGAGCTCTGGCTGGGCCACTCAAGGACATTCAGAGACTTGTCCCGAAGCTAGTCCTGTGTTGTCTTGGCTGTGTGCTTAGAGTCGTTGAACCTTCACCCCAGTCTGAGGTCCTGAGCGCTCTGGAGCAGGTTTTCATCAAGTATCTCTCTGTACTTTGCTCTGTTCATCTTTGCCTCGATCCTGACTGGTCTCCCAGTCCCTGCAGCTGAAAAACATCCCCACAGCATGATGCTGCCACCACCATGCTTCACCGTAGGTTTCCTCCAGATGTAACGCTTAGCATTCAGGCCAAAGAGTTCTATCTTGGTTTCATCAGACCAGATAATCTTGTTTAAGTGCCTTTTGGCAAACTCCAAGCGGGCTGTCTTGTGCCTTTTACTGAGGAGTGGCTTCCGTCTGGCCACTCTACCATAAAGGCCTGATTGGTGGAGTGCTGCAGAGATGATTGTCCTTATGGAAGCATCTCCCATCTCCACAGAGGAACTCTAGTGCTCTGTCAGAGTGACCATCGGGTTCTTGGTCACCTCCCTGACCAAGGCCCTTTTCCCCAGATTGCTGAGTTTGGCCGGGCGGCCAGCTCTAGGAAGAGTCTTGGTGGTTCCAAACTTCTTCTATTTAAGAATGATTGAGGCTACTGTGTTCTTGGGGACCTTAAATGGTGCAGAATGTTTTTGGTACCCTTCCCAAGATCTGTGCCTCGATACAATCCTGTCTCGGAGCTCTACGGACAATTCCTTCGACCTCATGGCTTGGTTTTTGCTCTGACATGCACTGTCAACTGTGGGACCTTATATAGACAGGTGTGTGCCTTTAGGACACCTCATGGCACGTTAGGACACCTCAAGGCACTTTAGGACACCTCATGGCACTTTAGGACACCTCAAGGCACTTTAGGACACCTCAAGGCACTTTAGGACACCTCAAGGCACTTTAGGACACCTCATGGCACTTTAGGACACCGCATCAGACCTAATGGCACCGCATGAGAACTAATGGCACCGAATGACACCTAATGACAACTCAAATCAAATCAAATTTTATTTTCCACATGCGCCGAATACAACAGGTGTAGACCTTACAGTGAAATGCTTACTTACATGCCCTTAACCAACAGTGCATTTTTAAGATAAATAAGTGTTAAGTAAAAAATAGATGAATAAAAAATAAAAATGGAAATAGTCTGGGTAGCCATGATTAGCTGTTCAGGAGTCTTACGGCTTGGGGGTAGAAGCTGTTAAGAAGCCTTTTGGACCTAGACTTTGCGCTCCGGTACCGCTTGCCGTGCGATAGAAGAGAGAACAGTCTATGACTAGGGTGGCTGGAGTCTTTGACAATTTTTAGGGTCTCTGACACCGCCTGGTATAGAGGTCCTGGATGGCAGGAAGCTTGGCCCCAGTGATATACTGGGTCGTATGCACTACCCTCTGTAGTGCCTTGCGGGCGGATGCCGAGCAGTTGCCATACCAGGCGGTGATGCAACCAGTCAGGATGCTCTCGATGGTGCAGCTTTAGAACTTTTTGAGGATCTGAGGACCCATGCCAAATATGTTCAGTCTCCTGAGGGGGAATAGGCTTTGTCGTGCCCTCTTCACAACTGTCTTGGTGTGTTTGGACCATGATAGTTTGTTGGTGATGTGGACACCTAGGAACTTGAAGCTCTCAACCTGTTCCACTACAGCCCCGTCGATGAGAATGGGGGCGTGCTCAGTCCTCTTCTTTTTCCTGTAGTCCACAATCATCTCCTTTGTCTTGATCATGTTGAGGGAGAGGTTGTTATCCTGGCATCACACGGCCAGGTCTCTGACCTCCTCACTATAGGCTATCTCATCGTTGTCGGTGATCAGGCCTACCACTGTTGTGTCGTCTGCAAACTTAATGATGGTGTTGGAGTCAGAGAGTACAGGAGGGGACTGAGCACGCACCCCTGAGGGGCCCCCGTGTTGAGGATCAGCGTGGCAGATGTGTTGTTGCCTACCCTCACCACCTGGGGGCGGCCCGTCAGTAAGTCCAGGATCCAGTTTCAGAGGGAGGTGTTTAGTCCCAGGGTCCTTAGCTTAGTGATGAGCTTTGAGGGCACTATGGTGTTGAACGCTGAGCTGTAGTCAATGAATAGCATTCTCACTAAGCACACTTAATGACAACTAAGCACACCTAATGTCACTTAATGGCACCTAATGAAACCTAATGACAACTCAGCACACCTAATGAAACCTAATGACACCTAATGTCACTTAATGGCACCTAATGAAACCTAATGTCACTTAATGGCACCTAATGAAACCTAATGACAACTCAGCACACCTAATGAAACCTAATGACACCTAATGTCACTTAATGGCACCTAATGAAACCTAATGACACTTAATGGCACCTAATGAAACCTAATGACAACTCAGCACACCTAATGTCACTTAATGGCACCTAATGAAACCTAATGACAACTCAGCACACCTAATGAAACCTCATGGTAGGTCTTATAACAGCATCATGTTCATGCTGCCAATGACTGGAACGAACTGCAACAATCTCTGAAGCTGGAGACTCTTATCTCCCTCACTAACTTTTAAGCATCAGTTGTCAGAGCACCTTACCGATCACTGCACCTGTACACAGCCCATCTGAAATTAGCCCACCCAACTACCTCATCCCTATATTGTTATTTATTTTGCTCATTTGCACCCCAGTATCTCTATTTGCACATAATCTCTTGCACATCTATCATTCCAGTGTTAATACTAATTGTAATTATTTTGCACTATGGCCTATTTATTGCCTTACCTCCATAACTTGCTACATTTGCACACACTGTATATATATTTTCTGTTTGTATTTTTGACTTTATGTTTTGTTTTACCCCATATGTAACTCTGTGTTGTTTTTATCGCACTGCTTTGCTTATCTTGGCCAGGTTGCAGTTGTAAATGAGAATTTGTTCTCAACTGGCTTACCTGGTTAAATAAAGGTGAAAAAAAATATGGAAAAATAAATGTCATGGTGACACTGTCAAATAAAGTGTAACCACATATTTCCCTGATCAGTGTTCGAGAGCGCTGTCTGGAGGAGCAGAAGAGGAGGGGACAGAGAGCAACCAGGAAGATCTGTACCTTCATCGGCACGTTCATTGTCTGCTTTGCTCCCTACGTCATCACCAGGTGAGTAGAAAGGGGGAGGGAGAGAGAGAGAGACATCTTTACAAGAGTACAGTAGATGGTTTTTCCCTGACATCTTTACAAGAGTACAGTAGAATGTAAGTCCCTGACATCTTTACAAGAGCACATTAGATGATATGTCCCTGACAGTTTCTCTTTACAAGAGTACAGTAGATGGTATGGCCCTGACATCTTTACAAGAGTACAGTAGATGATATGTCCCTGACATCTTTACAAGAGTACTTTAGATGATATGTCCCTGACATCTTTACAAGAGCACATTAGATGATATGTCCCTGACAGTTTCTCTTTACAAGAGTACAGTAGATGGTATGTCCCTGACATCTTTACAAGAGTACATTAGATTACATGTGCCTGACATCTTTACAAGAGTACAGTAGATGATATGACCCTGACATCTTTACAAGAGTACATTAGATGGTATGTCCCTGACATCTTTACAAGAGTACAGTAGATGGTATGTCCCTGACATCTTTACAAGAGTACATTAGATGATATGACCCTGACATCTTTACAAGAGTACAGTAGATGGTATGTCCCTGACATCTTTACAAGAGTACAGTAGATGATATGTCCCTGACATCTTTACAAGAGTACAGTAGATGGTATGTCCCTGACATCTTTACAAGAGTACATTAGATGATATGTCCCTGACATCTTTACAAGAGTACAGTAGATGATATGTCCCTGACAGTTTCTCTTTACACGAGTACAGTAGATGGTATGTCTCTGACATACAATTAACTCATTAGGATCTGGGGCACCACGAGAGCGGTTCTTTAAAGAGTCACCATCACCTGAATTAAACTCTAAAAGGTCTTTACCGATCACATCTATAAACAGTCAACTTATTAATCATAACCTCGTATCATATCATCATTCTGAACAGTCGTAACCTCCTTGCATCTGCAAAAAACCTGAGCCTTACTTATTACAAATTGGTTTAATGATGTATTTGCTAGCTAATTAAATGGGAACACAGGACAAACATACACACTCTGCACCGGTTACTGACTGGAGAAAACAGGTCCCTAGTGGAATGACAACAACACGGCTGCTTGCTACAGAAGAGAGGGAGAGGGAGACACTTAACATTGCCACATTCGGAAACTACTCTCCTCTACAGTAACCATATACTTTGCACACGAACCGCCGCCCGTTTTGAGTAAGAAATCATGAATGTGTTTACGTGAAATGTCTTAGTCTCTCAGGGATCTCTTGGTGAACCGGGCCTGCCCTGGAAAGGGAGTTGGGCCTTCTCGCGGCGCGCTTGTAAGGCTCTGATTGTCCAAACAGGTTCCAACAAGTCTTCTACTGTTGTTCTCTTCTTTTGTAGTTGTCCGGTCTCCGACGACTTCTGGTGTATTCCTGAACAGAACTACAGAGTTGATTTTTCCTTCCGTTTGCTCTTGAAGATGCTTCTTTGAAGATAGGCTGGCCAGCCGTATCGATGATTCCCAGTGGGGTGATGGGCGTAGCGTAACAGGATGGATTGAGCAGAGTAATAGGATGTGCCTACTTAAATTCGCTTTCGAAGATACTTTACCTAGAACAGCTAATCAGCCGAACCAGTGAGTTTATTCTCTCCCCCTCGTGTTGAGATTCAAAGTTCCAACCGTTTTTAAACGTGTAGCTGTCGCTTTCACATTTTCTGGTCCGATATGTTAATTCGTAACCCATCCTTTTACACACTCTGCTCAAAAGGGGGCGGTTCCGTCAGGCCGACACGCTCTCTGACCTCACTTTGGGCGGTGACCAGGGACGGCCTGTTCAATAGGGTGATATGGGCGACGCACTGCCAAACGGGAAAAGGAAGGGATTTTTTTTCTAATCAATTATATCACGGCAACAGTAGTTATCAGTGTTCACGTCTGATCTGCCAGCCACTAAATGTCAAATCAGGCTAAAGTCGTGCTTCAAATGGCCCCGCCCGTTTTTGGGGCGATTTCAGTCAGGTTGAAAATCGCCCAGAAGTCTCTCATAGCCTGTCATGTAAAATCTATTTTTTTCAAATTTCAAAGCTTTCAATACATTCTCTATGGGTGTCTGTGGGCTTGCACTTACGCGCTTTCGTCATACGTGACGTAACCATGAACGTAACTAAGACAATAGCGGCTAGCAGCGTCTCTGTTGCGACCTGCAGTGTGGCGTTATTTTATGTTTTTAATTTGTAGACTTAGTTTACAAACATTCTGCCAACCATGGATTTCCAGTGGTGGATTTTGGACTGATCTTGTTGATCGTGTACATACCCGCTACGAACGGACTAAATAATGAAAACGCTGCTGGCAGCGGAATCCAATACAGCTGGGAGACTTGGCTGGATGACAGGGTCCCGGACAGAGAAGTGGAGCCGGCCGGCTTCACCCTGGTCAGAGCGGACCGCGATCCTGGTAAGAGAGCGACTCTGTACCCCTACATTGAACTGCTTTCTGTGTCATTGCGACCTTTCTATCTGCCCCGTGAGTTCCCCCAATTGTTTGTTACCGTTGTGTACTGTTGATAATCACAAGTTTACTGGAGAACTGAGACCAAGTAGAGACTTTGGACAGGGTGGATATGGTATAATAAAGGCAGTTTATTCAGAGGTAAAGATATCTGGAATCGCGTGCACGGACTCGTTCGTCAAACTCTTAGGGAGAAGAGAGCCCCGAAAACATTGTGTGCAGACATTTTATACAATAAATGATGTAGGTTGAATCTAGTAGTTCTGATCTTCTGATTGGTCCTGATGAGTTGGGCGAGGTCCCCTCCACTGTTGCATTGGCTCTGAGTCGGGTTCTCTGTCTTCAAATGTTCAGCCTAAAGAGAGAGGATTTTTGTGTGTGTGTGTGTGTGTGTTTAAAAGTGATGATGTGTGTGTGTGTGTGTTATCAGTGATGATGTGTGTGTGTGTGTGTGTGTGTGTGTGTCCTCAGAGCAAGAACTCGTGAGTTGGAAGAACTGAGAGACCTATGGCGTGGGTGTTGTCCTTGGCCACCTGCTGACAAGGCTGACAAGATAGGACTCTTTTGTCCATTGTTATAGGATAGGAACAGCATTGATTGAAAACAAACGCCCAACACAAAATGGGTCATGCACAAGATTTTAGTCAGACCAAGCTATAACATTATATATTTACTACGACAGTACATTCAACCAAAAGCTAATATAACAAAGGCATCAGAGATTATTTATAATCTGTCACAGAAACTGGAATCCATCTCCCCAGATCAGTCAATAAATGCTTCTGGTATTGACTTATATGCTGCCCCTGTCTTCATGTTGTTGCTGGACATATCTTTTTTAAAATGTGTGTAGGTCACCTAAATCATCAGAAAAATTGCCCCTCCTGAGAATTTTTTCAGGAGCCGCCACTGGCGGTGACTACTAACTGTGCTAAAGTTATGAAAAACAATTATCTCATATAAGTTCTGTGACACTCTGGCTCTAGGACTTGTATATGTGAGCCAGGGTGTATCTCATTTGGTGGTGTTGGGGATGGGTGAGTTTCATTTTGTTTGTATTTAGTGGTGATTGGTTAATGACTCCCAATCGGAGGTAACGAGTGTCAGCTGTCGGCTCGTTATCTCTGATTGGGAGCCATATATATTCTGTGTGTTTTCACCTTTGTTTTGTGGGTTATTGTTTCTGTGTTGCTGTTAGTCTGTATCAGTATTTTGAACTTCACGTATCGTCATTTGTTGTTTTCTTCGTGGTTGCTTTATTAATAAAGTCATCATGTTCACTCCACGCGCTGCGTATTGGTCCGCTCCTTCAGACGATCGTGACAGAATAACCCACCATAAAAGGACCAAGCAGCGTAACAAGCGGCAACAGGACCTACCTACACAGGAGTTATGGACGCCTCCTAAGGATTTTAGGACATGGGAGGAGATTCGGGCTGGAAAGGGTCCTTGGGCACAACCGGAGGAATATCACCGCCCTCGTGAAGAGCTGGAGGCAGCCAAAGCCGAGAGGAGGTGGTACGAGGAGGCAGCGCGAAGGCGAGGCTGGAAGCCCGTGGAAGAGAGGCAACCCCAATAAATTTTTTGGGGGGGGCACATGGCTTGGGCGACGGAGCAGCAGGAGGCTGCCACAGGGAGAAAAGGAGAGAAGGCTAACGGAGTACGGGAGTCATTGGCGAGTAGAAGGAGGGAAGTTGTTGTGGCACGGCATGAGAGACTGAAGTGTGTTACCAGTCCGGTCCGGCCCGTTCCTGATCCCCAGTTAAGGCCAGTGGTGTGTGTTCCCGGTACGGACCGGCCTGTTCCTACTCCACGCACCAGGTCCACGGTGTGCGTCGCCAGCCCGGCCCGGCCTGTTCCTGCTCCACGCACGAAGCCTACGGGGTGCGTCGCCAGCCGGCCAGAGTCTGCCGTCTGCCCAACGGCGCCTGAACTGGCCGTCTGCCCAACGGCGCCTGAACTGGCCGTCTGCCCAACGGCGCCTGAACTGGCCGTCTGCCCAACGGCGCCTGAACTGGCCGTCTGCCCAACGGCGCCTGAACTGGCCGTCTGCCCAACGGCGCTGGAACTGCCCGTCTGCCCTATGGCGTCTGAACTGCCCGTCTGCCAAGCGCTGCATAAGCCGCCCGTCTGTACTGAGCCTGCAAAGCCGCCCGTCTGCCATGAGCCTTCAGAGCCGTCCGCCAGATCGGAGCCGCTAGAGCCTTCCGCCAGACAGGAGCCGCTAGAGCCTTCCGCCAGACAGAATCATACACTTGCTATGGAATCAGCAGGAGCCGACGCAGCCCATACTAGACTGGAAGCTCAGGTTCGGGACCAGAAAGAGCAGCTCCTGCAGATGGGAGCCGCCCTGCTGGAGGTGATGACTGCAATCCGAGGCTGGGGTCCGCCTCCACCGCCAGCCGCCCAGCCAGCACCATCAGCCAGCCATGAGCAGCCAGATCCGTCAGCCAGCCATGAGCAGCCAGATCTGTCAACCAGCCATGAGCAGCCAGACCCGTCAGCCAGCCATGAGCAGCCAGATCCGTCAGCCAGCCATGAGCAGCCAGATCCGTCAGCCAGCCATGAGCAGCCAGATCCGTCAGCCAGCCATGAGCAGCCAGATCCGTCAGCCAGCCATGAGCAGCCAGATCCGTCAGCCAGCCATGAGCAGCCAGATCCGTCAGCCAGCCATGAGCAGCCAGATCCGTCAGCCGGCCATGAGCAGCCAGATCCGTCAGCCGGCCATGAGCAGCCAGACCCGTCAGCCGGCCATGAGCAGCCAGATCCGTCAGCCAGCCATGAGCAGCCAGATCCGTCAGCCAGCCATGAGCAGCCAGATCCGTCAGCCAGCCATGAGCAGCCAGATCCGTCAGCCAGCCATGAGCAGCCAGATCCGTCAGCCAGCCATGAGCAGCCAGATCCGTCAGCCAGCCAGGATCCGCCAGAGCCGTCCAGCCAGGATCCGCCAGAGTCGTCCAGCCAGGATCCGCCAGAGCCGTCTAGCCAGGATCCGCCAGAGCCGTCCAGCCAGGATCCGCCAGAGCCGTCCAGCCAGGATCCGCCAGAGCCGTCCAGCCTGGATCCGCCAGAGCCGTCCAGCCAGGATCCGCCAGAGCCGTCCAGCCAGGATCCGCCAGAGCCGTCCAGCCAGGATCCGCCAGAGCCGTCCAGCCTGGATCCGCCAGAGCCGTCCCGCCGGGATCCGCCAGAGCCGTCCCGCCGGGATCCGCCAGAGCCGTCCAGCCTGGATCCGCCAGAGCCGTCCCGCCAGGATCCGCCAGAGCCGTCCCGCCAGGATCCGCCAGAGCCGTCCCGCCAGGATCCGCGAGAGCCAGCCAGCCAGGATCCGCCATCTAGTCAGGTGCTGCCCCTTAGCCCGGTGCTGCCCCTTAGTCCGGTGCTGCCCCTTAGCCCGGTGCGGCCCCTTAGTCCGGTGCTGCCCCTTAGCCCGGTGCTGCCCCTTGTTCCGGTGCTGCCCCTTATCCCGGTGCTGCCCCTTATCCCGGTGCTGCCCCTTAGGCCGATGCTGCCCCTTAGTCCGGTGTTGCCCCTTAGTCCAGGTGGGGTTAGTTGGAGGGTGGTCATTGGGAGGAGGCTACCGAAGCAGGTTGTGACTGTGGTGGGGTGGGGATCACGACCGGGGCCAGAACCGCCACCATGGACAGACGCCCACCCAGACCCTCCCCTAGTCCTGATGTTGGTGCGCCCGGAGTTCGCACCTTTAGGGGGGGGTACTGTGACACTCTGGCTCTAGGACTTGTATATGTGAGCCAGGGTGTATCTCATTTGGTGGTGTTGGGGATGGGTGAGTTTCATTTTGTTTGTATTTAGTGGTGATTGGTTAATGACTCCCAATCGGAGGTAACGAGTGTCAGCTGTCGGCTCGTTATCTCTGATTGGGAGCCATATATATTCTGTGTGTTTTCACCTTTGTTTTGTGGGTTATTGTTTCTGTGTTGCTGTTAGTCTGTATCAGTATTTTGAACTTCACGTATCGTCATTTGTTGTTTTCTTCGTGGTTGCTTTATTAATAAAGTCATCATGTTCACTCCACGCGCTGCGTATTGGTCCGCTCCTTCAGACGATCGTGACAAGTTCTCAAATCACATCCCTCTCTTAACAAAAACACTAATCATTTTTCATATTATATGCACAACACATAGGATGGACACTTCGTATATATAGTGAGTATACTTTCCAAGTTACATTATTTTCTTTATCCATTTTTTTATGACATCACAAAATAACAACCAATATGACCTTAGTGTCCAACAGATCACCTCTGGCCATTCCCCACGTTCTATGTTAGGAATATTATTCCAATATTAGCTTTTGAACGTGTTAAAGTTTCAGCTGAAAAAAGTCTGTTAAACTAAGACATTCCTTTGGGGATCTTGAGAGGGAGAGCCTGGGCCTTCTCCCTTGATTTACGACAGGGCGTGAGCTGTTAACCCCCCTCTACGGGTGAGAGGGGGTCTGATTGAAGTTATTCATTGCAAACCTGATCTGACCTATTTGGATTCTTGTGGACAGTCATGACAGTCTGCTCAATCAGAAATGTCCTTTAATCATTAAACATTTCAAGTATTTTAATGATGACTGAATCTTTACCTGTCCTGTAAATACATTATCATGAATTGAATAATAACAAACAACATAACTAAAATGTCTGCTTTGTGGTGACCTCTTCTCAAGTTGTGTCAGGACAATTAGAATGTTGCACTTTGTTGCAGTTGATGTCCATGAAGAGAATTAGGGCTGACTGTTTTTGACATCCATAGATAGTTATGCTCTCTCTCTCTCTCTCTCTCTCTCTCTCTCTCTCTCTCTCTCTCTCTCTCTCTCTCTCTCTCTCTCTCTCTCTCTCTCTCTCTCTCTCTCCCCATCCCTATTTCTCCACCTGTATAGGATCGTGGAGTTATTTCCCTCTGTGCCTATCGACCACCACTGGGGAGTGGTCTCCAAGTGCTTGGCCTATAGCAAGGCGGCTTGCGACCCCTTCGTCTACTCTCTTCTCCCTAACCAGTACAAGAAGACGTGTGGTGACATCATCAACAGGCTGCTGAAGCCCAGCTCTCTGAATGCATCTGGACCAGGTCACCATCATAGCCATGAGACCAGGGGGAGGAACAACATCATCCAGAATGCAGCAGACTGAGGAAGCGGTAGTGTTATTGTCTAAGGGTTGATACTCTATGTTCAGACTGAGGAAGGGGTAGTGTTATTGTCTAAGGGTTGATAGCCACGTGAATGTGGCCCTCTCTCGCTGGACGTCATATAAGGATTTCTGGGATATGATTCAGTGTATTTCTGTGGTTCTCCAACTTAGAACACATCATACAGCGACCGATACGTTCGTAGCGTGAACGTGTTGCTGTGAAGAAGATGGATTTGACTTCAGACAGATTTGTGTTGAGGCAGACGATTGCTGTTGCGATTGTTGCTACGGCTGGCCATGCTTTCCACCTGGCTACCACTACCCCGGCCACCAGCTCTGCACCCTCCACTGCAACTTGCCCATGCCCCCCCCCCCCCCCCCCCCCCCCCCCCCCCCCCCGCTTCTCCTTCACACAAATTCAGAAAGCTGATGTTCTGAAAGAGCTGAAAAATCTGGACCCCTACAAATCAGCTGGGCTAGACAATTTGGACCGTTTCTTTCTAAAATTAGCAGCCGAAATTGTCGCAACCCCTATTACTAGCCTGTTCAACCTCTCTTTCGTAACGTCTGAGATCCCCAGAGATTGGAAAGCTGCCGCGGTCATCCCCCTCTTCAAAGGGGGTGACACTCTAGATCCAAACTGTTACAGAACTATATCCATCCTGCCCTGCCTTTCGAAAGTATTTGAAAGCCAAGTTAACAAACAGATCACCGACCATTTCGAATCCCACCGTACCTTCTCCGCTATGCAATCCGGTTTCCGAGCTGGTCATGGGTGCACCTCAGCCACGCTTAAGGTCCTAAACGATATTATAAACGCGATTGATAAAAGACAGTACTGTGCAGCCGTCTTCATCGACCTGGCCAAGGTTTTCGACTCTGTCAACCACTGCATTCTTATTGGCAGACTAAATAGCCTTGGTTTCTCAAATGACTGCCTCGCCTGGTTCACCAACTACTTCTCAGATAGAGTTCAATGTGTCAAATCGGAGGGCCTGTTGTCTGGACCTCTGGCAGTCTCTATGGGGGTGCCACAGGGTTCAATTCTCGAGCCGACTCTATTCTCTGTGTATATCAATGATGTCGCTCTTGCTGCTGGTGAAGCTCGGATCCACCTCTATGCGGACGACACCATTTTGTATACATCTGGCCTTTCATTGGACACTGTGTTAACAAACCTCCAAACGAGCTTCAACGCCATACATACTCCTTCCGTAGCCTCCAACTGCTCTTAAACACTAGTAAAACTAAATGCATGCTCTTCAACCGAACGCTGCTTGCACCCGCCCACCCGACTAGAATCACTACTCTCGGCGGGTCTGACATAGAGAATGTGGACAACTACAAATACCTAGGTGTCTGGTTAGACTGTAAATTCTCCTTCCAGACTCACATTAAGCATCTCCAAACAAAAGTTAGATCTAGAATTGGCTTCCTATTTCGCAAACAAAGCCTCCTTCACTCATGCTGCCAAACATGCCCTCGTAAAACTGACTATCCTACCGATCCTTGACTTCGGCGATGTCCTTTACAAAATAGCCTCCAACACTCTACTCAGCAAATTGGATGTAGTCTATCACAGTGCCATCCGTTTTGTCACCAAAGCCCCATATACAGTGAGGGAATAAAGTATATGATCCCCTGCTGATTTTGTACGTTTGCCCACTGACAAAGAAATGATCAGTCTATCATTTTAATGGTAGGTTTATTTGAACAGTGAGAGACAGAATAACAAAAAAAAAATCCATAAAAACGCACGTCAAAAATGTTATAAATTGATTGGCATTTTAATGAGGGAAATAAGTATTTGACCCCTCTGCAAAACATGACTTAGTACTTGGTGGCAAAACCCTTGTTGGCAATCACAGAGGTCAGACATTTCTTGTAGTGTAGTTGGCCACCAGGTTTGCACACATCTCAGGAGAGATTTTGTCCCACTCCTCTTTGCATATCTTCTCCAAGTCATTAAGGTTTCGAGGCTGACCTTTGGCAACTCGAACCTTCAGCTCCCTCCACATATTTTCTATTGGATTAAGGTCTGGAGACTGGTTAGGCCACTCCAGGACCTTAATGTGCTTCTTCTTGAGCCACTCCTTTGTTGTCTTGGCCATGTGTTTTGGGTCATTGTCATGCTGGAATACCCATCCACGATCCATTTTCAATGCCCTGGCTGAAGGAAGGAGGTTCTCACCCAAGATTTGACGGTACATGGCCCCGTCCATCGTCCCTTTGATGCGGTGAAGTTGTCCTGTCCCCTTAGCAGAAAAACACCCCCAAAGCATAATGTTTCCACCTCTATGTTTGACGGTGGGGATGGTGTTCTTGGGGTCATAGGCAGCATTCCTCCTCCTCCAAACACGGCGAGTTGAGTTGATGCCAAAGAGCTTGATTTTGGTCTCATCTGACCACAACACTTTCACCCAGTTCTCCTCTGAATCATTCAGATGTTTATTGGCAAACTTCAGACGGGCCTGTATATGTGCTTTCTTGAGCAGGGGGACCTTGCGGGCGCTGCAGGATTTCAATCCTTCACGGCATAGTGTGTTACCAATTGTTTTCTTGGTGACTATGGTCCCAGCTGCCTTGAGATTATTGACAAGATCCTCCTGTGTAGTTCTGGGCTGATTCCTCACCGTTCTCATGATCATTGCAACTCCACGAGGTGAGATCTTGCATGGAGCCCCAGGCTGAGGGAGATTGACAGTTATTTTGTGTTTCTTCCATTTGCGAATAATCGCACCAACTGTTGTCACCTTCTCACCAAGCTGCTTGGCGATGGTCTTGTAGCCCATTCCAGCCTTGTGTAGGTCTAAAATCTTGTCCTTGACATCCTTGGAGAGCTCTTTGGTCTTGGCCATGGTGGAGAGTTTGGAATCTGATTGCTTCTGTGGACAGGTGTCTTTTATACAGGTAACAAACTGAGATTAGGAGCACTCCCTTTAAGAGTGTGCTCCTAATCTCAGCTCGTTACCTGTATAAAAGAGACCTGGGAGCCAGAAATCTTTCTGATTGAGAGGGGGTCAAATACTTATTTTTATTTATTTTTTGTTTTTGTTGTTATTCTGTCTCTCACTGTTCAAATAAACCTACCATAAAAATTATAGACTGATCATTTCTTTGTCAGTGGGCAAACGTACAAAATCAGCAGGGGATCAAATACTTTTTTCCCTCACTGTACTATCCACCATTGTGACCTGTACGCTCTCGTTGGCTGGCCCTCACTACATATTCGTCGCCAAACCCACTGGCTCTAGGTCATCTATAAATCACTGCTAGGCAAATCCCAGTTTTACCTTAGCTCACTGGTCACCATAGCAACACCCACCCGTAGTATGCGCTCCAGCAGGTATATCTCACTGGTCATCCCCAAAGCCAACACCTCCTTTGGCCGCCATTCCTTCCAGTTCTCTGCTGCCAATAACTGGAACGAACTGCAAAAATCTCTGAAGCTGGAGACTCTTATCTCCCTCACTAACTTTAAGCGTCAGTTGTCAGAGCAGCTTACCGATCACTGCACCTGTACACAGTCATTCTGAAATTAGCCCACCCAACTACCTCATCCCCATATTGTTATTTATTTTGCTTATTTGCACCCCAGTATCTCTATTTGCACATCATCTTTTGAACATCTATCATTCCAGTTTTAATACGAAATTGTAACTATTTTGCACTATGGCCTATTTATTGCCTTACCTCCATAACTTACTACATTTGCACACACTGTATATATATTTTCTGTTGTATTTTTTGACTTTATGTTTTGTTTTACCCCATATGTAACTCTGTGTTGTTGTTTTTATCGCACTGCTTTGCTTTATCTTGGCCAGGTCGCAGTTGTAAATGAGAACTTGTTCTCAACTGTCTTCTTACCTGGTTAAATAAAGGTGAAATAAAAAAATAAAAACACAATAGCAATTCTATGATTGTCAGCATTTGTATGCTTTCACATTACATTCATACGTATCTATACTACTACACTCCAAAAGGGTTATGCGGCTGTCCCCACAGGAGAATCCTTTTTGGTTCCAGGTAGAACTCTTTTGTGTTCCATGTAAAACCCTCTGTGGAAAGGGTTCTACCTGGAACCAAAATGTTTTTTTTCAAAGGGTTGTCCAATGGGGACAGCCGAATAACCTTTTTGGGTTCTAGATAGCACCTTTTTTTTTCTAAGAGTGTCGGAGGAACATTACATAAAGAATGGAAGGTACAATAGTTGTACAGTGTGTTTTAGTATGTGCACTGAGTTTGGGGGTACGGTGGCCCTAAGGGACCAATTAGCTTTGTATGAAGGGACTACCTCAGTAAGTGTTGTGGTGTTGAACGGTAGCAGTAAATGTAGCTCCATCCAAACATGGCACCAAAGGAGAGGACACAACCTGATTATTACCGTGATGACGACATGTTAGGAAAACACATTGAGGCTTGTTACCTGGGAGTTAGGCTCAGGTATTTAAAACACATTGAGTTGAGGCTTGTTACCTGGGAGTTAGGCTCAGGTATTTAAAACACATTGAGTTGAGGCTTGTTACCTGGGAGTTCGGCTCAGGTATTTAAAACACATTGAGGCTTGTTACCTGGGAGTTAGGCTCAGGTATTTAAAACACATTGAGTTGAGGCTTGTTACCTGGGAGTTCGGCTCAGGTATTTAAAACACATTGAGGCTTGTTACCTGGGAGTTAGGCTCAGGTATTTAAAACACATTGAGGCTTGTTACCTGGGAGTTAGGCTCAGGTATTTAAAACACATTGAGGCTTGTTACCTGGGAGTTAGGCTCAGGTATTTAAAACACATTGAGTTGAGGCTTGTTACCTGGGAGTTCGGCTCAGGTATTTAAAACACATTGAGGCTTGTTACCTGGGAGTTCGGCTCAGGTATTTAAAACACATTGAGGCTTGTTACCTGTGAGTTAGGCTCAGGTATTTAAAACACATTGAGGCTTGTTACCTGGGAGTTCGGCTCAGGTATTTTACACTTGATAAAATACACTTCTACTGTTCTCA